TTGTACCTGTACATGATGTATCTTGGTTCTTATTTTTTCCCCATTATCTGTGCGCCCTTCATCCCCTCCACCCTTCCCTATTTACATAGGTTTTGTTTCCATTTTTTTCTTTTCTCATAATTTTTCCTTTCCTTCTTTCCTTTCCCCTTCTCCTCCCACCATCCCTATACCTTTGGACCTTTTCCTGTTTCAAATTATCAATTATTCATTTTAATCCTTATTTATACTTTCAGTTTCTCACACCAGAGAAACTATTTGTTATTTACACATGTGTGTCTTATTTATTTCACTTAAGAGGATGGCCTCAGTATGCATCCATTTAGCTATAAATGTCTCTAGTTTCTTGGTCTTTATGGCTGAGTAGTACTCCATTTTATAAAAAAACCACGTCTTTATCCAGTTTCCGGTTGATGGGCACTGGGGCTGTTTCCAAGCTTTAGCCATTACAAACTGTGCTGCTATAAGCATGATTGCATATATATCGCTGTATCATAGGGAATTTGTACCTCCTGTACGTGATACATCTTGCTTCTTTTTTCCCATTTCCCTCCCCTCAGTCTCTCTTCTCCTCATTTACAAAAGCTTTATTTCCATTTTTTTCCCTTCTATTCTCTTTTTCTTATCCCTTCTTTCCTCCCTGCCCCCCTTTTTCCCTTCTCATTTGAACATTTCCCATTTTCCAATATCTATTATACATTTTGGTCTTTATTTACACTTTCGGTTTCTCATACCAGAGAAATAATGCAGTACTTAAGCATGTTATTACTATCTTTCATGGGTATTTGCATTTAGACTTTATAGACAGATATTTGTGGTTAAAGGTAGGGACATACGGGTCATTACCAATGTAAAATTCTCTGAAAGAAGCTTAGTGGATTGTGGATTTTATTCCAGGTTGATGTTGAGCAACATACTTTGGCCAAATACCTGATGGAACTATCTATGTTGGACTATGATATGGTGCACTTTCCTCCTTCTCAAATTGCAGCAGGAGCTTTTTGCTTAGCACTGAAAATTCTTGACAATGGTGAATGGGTAAGCTCTGCTATTTGACTAAATTTAGAACTGTTGTCATTGAGGCAATTCCACTGCTTACTGAATATGGTAATAGTAAAAAATAATGTCTATAATGTTGACTGCATGGAGTGCTTCCATTTCTTTACCTACTTTAATCCTTATGTAACCCTTTGAAAAAAACAGAGTATCTGATAATCCTTAGAGATGTAGAAACAAACCTACATAGGTCAAATGACACACAGTTCATTCATTGATTCAACAGATATTTCTGCTGTGTGCCAGGCACTACCTGTGCTCTAAAAATAGAACTGTGAATGAGAAAATCTACTTCAAGGCACTGGGAGCTTAGCTTTGGGGTAGACAAGCTAGTGATTGCAATAGTGTGATTAGATTTGAGCACACATTTCTACAGAGCATGAGGGAGCACCTGGGGAAGGAGTCTTAAGCATGCCTTAAATCCTAATTATAGTCTTCCATATCCATTCCCCTGCCCCACTCTTGAATAACATTTAGAAATTCCACGAAAACTTGTTGATGAGAACTTTTAACATGTTTGTGTTGTCCTAGACCCCAACTCTGCAGCACTACCTGTCATATACTGAAGAATCCCTACTTTCCATAATGCAGCACCTGGCTAAGAATATAGTCATGGTGAATCGTGGACTTACGAAGCACATGGTAAGTCAAATTATTGATATTTTGTGATGGTTAAAAATAAAGATCAAGCCAAGCGTAGTGGCAAATTCCTGGAATCTCAGCACTGTGAGACCCTGTCTTAGAATAAAAAATAAGAAGCTGGGCTTACACAGTATGGCCGGTGACATTAGCTAGCGCTCGCTCTACTCTCTCTAATGGGAAAGCAGCAGACTACAAGAGACTGAACTATATCTGCATCTATTTCCAAACAGACTCACATTCAACTTTCGTTCAAAGAAAAAAGCCGGGAAAATTTTATTAGTCCTTTTTTTAAAAAAAGTTAATACAGAATTATAGCAAAAAAAGGAACCTGAACTTCATAGCAACACAGCTGGAACAATCTGCAGTGGCAGTGGCAGCGGCGGGAGAAGAGATTTAATTTAGTTGATTTTCTATGATTGTTGGTTGTTCACTAGTCTCACGGTGATGGAAGCTGCATATTTTTTCGAAGGGACCAAGAAGCTGCTGGAGGTTTGGTTCTCCTGTCAGCAACCCGACGCCAGCCAGGGATCTGGGGATCTTCGCACTATCCCGAGATCTGAGTGGCATGTACTTTTGAAGGATGTGCAATGTTCTATCATAAGTGTGACAAAAACCTGACAAGCAAGAAGCTTATGTACTCAGAGTAGCATGTTTGTCTCCAAGAGACATTTCATTTTGAAGACATGTGGTACCACCCTCTTACTGAAAGCACTGGTTCCCCTGTTGAAGCTTGCTAGGGATTACAGTGGGTTTGACTCGATTCAAAGCTTCGTTTATTCTCATAAGTATTTCGTGAAGCCTTCTCACCAAGGGTACCCACACCGGAATTTCCAGGAAGAAATAGAGTTTCTTAATGCAATTTTCCCAAATGGAGGAGCAGCATATTGTATGGGACGTATGAATTCTGACTGTTGGTACTTGTATACTTTGGATTTCCCAGAGAGTCAAGTAATCAGTCAGCCAGATCAGACCCTGGAAATTCTGATGAGCGAGCTTGACCCGGGAGTTATGGACCAGTTCTACATGAAAGATGGTGTTACTACAAAGGATGTCACTCGTGAGAGTGGAATTCGTGACCTGATACCAGGTTCTGTCATTGATGCCACACTGTTCAATCCTTGTGGGTATTCAATGAATGGAATGAAATCGGATGGAACTTATTGGACTATTCACATCACTCCAGAACCAGAGTTTTCTTATGTTA